GTCAAAAAATGAGAAAACATGCATCCTGGCATCCCTGTAGAAGTGCCAGTTCCTTGGCCAGAATATCACCAAATATGAGAGGCTTGCTGTAGCAAATTTAGGTACAGTCCTGGCGTTTACCTCCAGATCTGTGCAGACATTTCAGACAATCAGTTGAACAAGCAGGGAGTAGATTTATTGGGAACTTCTATACACAAACCCAGCACAGTCACTGTGTTGCAAAGAACAACATTTCAATTATTTGGTGGTTTTAGAGAAGTTTTAGTAGAACTACAATATGGTCAATGTGGAAAGTTATCCTGTATCTTATTCAATTATCTAGGGCTTTGGAGTTTTCCTACAAAATCAATCTTGGACACTTCATTCTGGGATTCATTTGCTGTAACTGATATTACCATCAGTAAATATATGTCACTGTTGCTATCCTTCATTTATAATGGTCTAAATCTGAGCCTATAAAAAAGGAAGTCAGTGTTCCCCTTGGTCCTCAATGAGAAGCCTTGTACAGACCACAAAATCTTTTTATAGGCAACTGAAGTGTCCCAGTGAAAGAGCCTGCTGAATCTGTCTCTATTGGATTAACGTGTCTGTAAAGGCTGAAGGTTTTTACCTTCATGGTTCCTAAGCATGAAGGTAAAACCTTCTGTGCGCAACTCCCTCTGCAGCCTCCCCCCCCCCTGCTCCCCAATACTTACCTGAACCTGATCTTCATCCAGCACTGTGCACAGGAGCCTCTGCTCCCCTGGGTCTCTCTCGCCTTATTGGCTGAGACAGCAGTGGGGATCGCATCACAGCCAGTGAGGGAGGGACTGATCCACACTCTGTGTGACCCATAGAAACACAGAGCTGGCTCAAGAGTGAGCACACACTTGCTGGGGGCACTCGACAAGGGAGAGGGGCCATTAGTGTTGGCAGGGAACCTGAGAAGGGAGGATCCAGGCTGCTCTGTGCAAAACCATTGCACAGAGCATGTAAGTATGACATGTTTGTTATTTTAAAGAAAAAAGTAACCTTTAGAACATAATTGTGCATTGATTTTACTTGCCTGCTCTCATTGTTAAATATGGTCTTCAGATAAATACATTGGTAAAATAAATACAAGAGCAGTTTCACTTGTCAAAATAATTGTATTTCCATCCATCAAGTACTGAGATTTAAACATCTTTGCCAGATAGTACAACTATGCTATTTACCTGTGTTTTCTCTACTGCAATTCAGCAATACAGCTATGGCCCATCCCTACCTGCAGCCTGTGATTAGATAGCAGACTACAGCCCTGGCCAAAAGAACACAAATATTCATTTTCACAAAGTCTGCTGCTTTTTTAGATTTTTTTTTGTCAGATGTTACTATGATACAGTATACTGAAGTATAATTACAAACATTTCATAAGTGTGAAAGTACATTAAGTTTATGCCAAGAGTCAATATTTGCAGTATTGACCATTCTTTTTTAAGACCTCTGCAATTCGCCCTGTCATGCTGTCAGTCAACTTCTGTGCCACATCCAACTGATGGCCACCCATCCTTGCATAATCAAAGCTTGGAGTTTGTCAGAAACTTGTGGGGGGGGGGGGTTTGTTCACCCGCCTCCTGAGGATTGACCACAAGTTATCAATGGGATTAAAGTCTGGAGAGTTTCCTGGCCATTGACCCAAGATTTTGATGTTTTGTTCTCAAAGCCACTTAGTCATCAATTGTTGCCTTATGGCACTCTGCTCCGTTATGCTGGAAAAAGACTTGTTCATCAACAAACTGTTCTTGGATGGTTGGGAGAAGTTGCTCTCAGAGGATGTTTTTTCTACCATTCTTTATTCATGGCTGTGTTCTTAGGCACAATAGTGAGTGAGCCCACTGTCTTGGCTGAGAAGCAACCCAACACATGAATGGTCTCAGGATGCTTTACTGTTGGTATGATACAGGACTGATGGTAGTTCTCCCCTTTTCTGTTCTGACAAGGTTTTTTCCGGATGCCCCAAACAATCGATAAGGGGATTCATCAGAGAAAATTACTTTTCCCCAGTCCTCAGCAGTCCAATCCCTGTACCCTTTGCAGAATATCAGTCTGTCGCTGATGTTTTTCCTGGAGAGAAGAGGCTTCTTTGCTGCCCTTCCTCCAAAAGTCCAGGGCACCAGGCCATCCTCAGTCTTCACCTCACTGTGCATGAAGATGCACTCACACCTGCCTGCTACCATTCCTAAGCAAGCTCTGAACTAGCGGTGTCCCGATCCCGCAGCTGAATCCACTTTAGGAGATGGTTCTGGCACTTGATACACTTTCGTGGGTGCCCTGAAGTCTTTTCACAACAATTGAACCTCTCTCCTTGAAGTTTTTGATGATCCGATAAATGGCTGATTTAGGTGCAATCTTAGTAGCAGCAATATCCTTGTCTGTGAATCCCTTTTTGTGCAAAGCAATGATGACTGTATGTGTTTCCATGCAGGTAAATTAATAATTGTCATTCTCAAAACTTTTGGCCAGGGCTGTAGAGGGCTTATCCCTTTGCTTGCTCTTTTCTCTCCCTCTTCTTTAGCACCTAGTACTACCCCTCTTTCTCCCAATCCCAGAGTTCTACAGTATATGGGATAAGAACTTATTTCCATTGATAAATATTTGTTTCATTTATTTTTAATGAAAACGTAATTGATTGCTAATATTCTCTGAGTACCCAACTCTGGGGAAGCCTATAAGTTTACTATGTGGCCCTGTAGGGTTGATAACTCCTAGATTAAGAGAACAGTTACAGATTTCTTTCTCTATGCATACTTACAAGTGCCCCTCCTCTGATCTAAACTGCTGCCAAATATACCACTCATATTTACTCGTATTAGGCTTTGTTTAAACTGTTGGCTGGGGGTGCATATTTTTAACCTACCACCTCCCTTAACCTAACATGGTGGCCAGAGGGGGTGGTAAACATGCTGTGGCAAGAATGATACTACAGATCACTTCTAAGGGGCTGTGCCACTGCCAAATGTGACCCATTCAAGTGTGATGCGCATGGCTGCAGTGCAGTTCTGCAGCCTTTCAATGGTTAAAACAGGCGGGGGAAAGGGGGATGTTTCACATCCCAGCCACCTGACACATTCCTCTGAAAAGTGATTCATGATGGATTACTATTCAGAGGAGTGGGAATGACAGCCACAATTGTAGATAAGCCCTTAAATGTTGTACTTTCTTTTTTCTCCCTAAAAATTTTACAATAAACATACAGCATGCTCCTTACAACTGTGATTAGATTAACAGCTCACCTAAATCTCTTTTTTCAATGGTACATTAGCATGCTCACCTGCTGTGAAGTCTTTCTAAAAGAAATCAATAGAAAATAATTCAAAGGCTATTACCTTCTGACTATTGCTGGGCACTTGGAAGATTATAGATGGATTTCAAGCTTCTACTTGAACAGGAATAGGCAATGCCTAATAAAGCTTCAGCTGTTATAAAAATACAAATGGCATGGAGTATTCAGCAGATGGCCAATTTATTGGACTCTTGCCTTCGGTTTGCTCAGTATAGCTGTAAGATTTTGTGATAAGCAAAGAAACCTGTGAGAATAGAAATATGGAGGCTGAGATGACTTGTTTTAAAGATGAAATATAGAGGCTGACAAAATTGACTTGTTTTAAAAGTACAGGCTTTGGTACAAGCTAAGTCAGGGGCGGACTGACAAACTCATGGGGCCCCCCGGGCAATAGGGGATCATGGGGCCCCCGTGTCCTTGCTCAAACTCAAAAAAGCCTATGAAAAAGGTACCAGGGGCATCTCATGGGGCCCCCTACTGACCCGGGCCCTCGGGCAGTGCCAGAGTTTCCAAATGGTCAGTCCGCTAAGTAATTGCTGAGATTTGTAGTGGGCAAATTTACTAGGCAGCAAAGCAGCACCTTTAGATCAAGAGAGCTTTGGCAGCCTCCATATTGCTATCCTCGACGGCTGCTTTAGGTCTTATTTATACTGGATGCTTTAAAAACACTGATAGCATTAGCTATATAAAGTTTCATAAAAGTTTCATTAAAAACTCAAGTTTTTCTGCATTTTTGAATTAGTGTTTAGCCGCATTTTGCTGTGTTAGCATTTTTTAGCATTACACACACACACACACACACACACACACACACAAAAAAAAAATATATATATTTTGGCTCAAAAAATGCTAAAAAAATTTGGTTTGCCACATTTACCAGCATCAGTGCATTTTTACAGCTAAAAGACTCCTCTAAAAACCCACTAGTTCAGGGTTTTTTTTCCAGCCAAAAAACACCCCTGCCAAAAAATGCTGATTAAAGCCTATGTGTGCATGGACACATAGGATAACATGTTGGTGGATTTACTGGCTGTAGAAAAGAAATGGTAAAAGTGAAAAACAACAGCTTTAAAAACATCCAGTGTGTATAAGGCCTTAAAATGGGTTCTGCTGATTTTCATTAGCACTGACAGTTGGGAGAGGGGAGTTTTACCATTTCTGGCACTAAAGTCTACCAGTGTGTGGATAAAGTAACTTTCAGATTTTAAGACCCAGATATATAGTATATGTAAATACTGGGAAAGTCTGTGTAGCAGAAATAGTAATCTGATCTGTCATCCAGAATATTTCTGATTTGGATTTTTGGGATAAGAACTTGTTTTGCAAATAATATGGATGATAATATTGGATGAGTTTATTCATGGTGTAGTAATTGAGCACTCTGTTATTTTTTATATGAACTCTTTTTACCACAAACATCCTCATTCCATAAAGTTACAACTGCCACAAAAATGTCATCTACTGTTTCGTTTTACTTTGTATGCTTTAAGAGACATGTCCGATCTCCTCAAGTACCGTATTATTATTATTATACAGGATTTATATAGCGCCAACAGTTTGCTCAGCGCTTTACAATATAAAGGGAGATAATACAGCAACAATACAGTTCAATACAAGAGGGTTAGGAGGGACTGCTCCTTGCAGCTTAAATCTAAGATATCAGTTCATAGAATATTTTTTTTGCCTTCTCTTTTTCCAGACAAGTCTTAATAGTATGACAAGTGTCTACAGTGAAGGTTGGGACTATGATAATGCGAACGTCTCTGGAGAACTTGTACTCAATCTTAGTTACAGCTATAAAACTGGCGCTTTGAATGTTCTGGTGAAGAGCTGTAAAAATCTAGCAACTGCTGATGAGAAGAAGAACAGGACAGACCCGTAAGCATGATGATAGTTTAATTTTTATGATATAGTGTAAATTAAACAAAAAATTTATGTAGCTCTATACTGAAAAAATACCAATTTGGTGGTTCAAATTAGGGCCCCATAGTTCTTCCCTCTCCAATGTGCATGTTACAAGCAACTTATATAACATTTAGGAAGTCATAAATAAAAACGCATATATATATATATATATATATATATATATATATATATATATATATCATCAAGTGAAAGTACTGATATCCACATGTCTGAATTTTGCAGAGTGCTGCCATTGAATGCCATTGAGTTCCACTCACTCTGAAAAAAAAAATAAAACTCAGCAGCTACAAAAACTTTAGCTGCTGACTTTTAAAAAAACAGCCACTCACCTGTCCCATGATCCCTCGTTGCCTCCGCCGCAGCCCATTTCACCAGCCGTCCTGTATTCCATGCGCCGGCATCTTCAGTGTGGGCACCCGACTGTGACAGCTTTTTCACACCCGGGTGCTTCATGTGCGAGTAGTGCTGCTCTTTCTGAATGGCCCCGTCGTCTTCTGGGACCTGTAACATGTCCCACAAAACTTCGGGGAGGGAGGGAGGAGCTTTAAAGCAGAACTTCCCCTTTTGGGTGGAACGCAGCTTTAAGCCCATTGTGGAAATTAGCCATATGTGAGACTGGAGAATGTGGTGCCAGTACTCTCCATAGTACTGAATTTGTCTGAATCAGCACGCATATATAACTATAACATCATCTACCATACCTGATCAGTCAATTCCCAAGCTTCAGTACAAGGCAGTATGGAGGCGAGTGAGTCACATGCTCCTCTATACCCAATAATACTGGATTCTTCACTCCAATTGACCAAACAGAGCAGCGGGGAGATAATATATGTTGAGAATGTATTGCTAGATGCATGACAGGAGGCCAAACATTTTTCGCACCCTTGCAATGCTGATCACAAGCTGATGGCCTGGTGTTCCATATCCCTTGGTTTATATTCCATGGTTCCTAGGAAAAACCAGGAACAAATTGTGAAAGGTAGCCCTATAACTCATCACATGTCTAAATTGTACTTTGATGCAGCTTTTGTGATGTATGAGGAAGAATTTCAGTGTTTACTGTGCTACTATCAAAGGGGTACTTGTTCTTGCTGTGCTATGCTGTAAATTCCATGAACCACTTCACTATGTGTGTTGTGCTGGGCAAGATATTCTCTAGACTAGGCATTTTCAACCAGGGTTCCGTGGAACACTAAGGTTCCTCCACAATTTGCCAGGGGTTAATTGAGCTGTGGCTGATTTACCTCCCATGTGATTGCCTGCATAATTCTGGGTCCAGTGCCACTTCGCAGATCTTTTTAGCATGGGTGGCATCCTGACCCAACTGTAAAGCGGGCATTCTTCCTACTGACAACCAGTGCAGGGTATCCTTCACACTAACCCCTGAGGTTCCATTAGACCTGAAAATTCTTTCAAGGGCTTCTGTGGGATAAACATTGAAAAAAGTTGCTCTAGACTGTTCTTTTTTGTATGTTGTATGTACTCCATATGACTCGCGATGCTGCTGTTATAAACTTTATATTGCTAATCATAAAAGTATGATCATATAGACTATGAAAACGTTTGCTGGCTTTGTTAATATATAAAGCATAGGTTCAGCACTGTGAGCAGTGGGTCTCTTTAGGGAATATTTGCTTTTCACTGTAATAGGTAATCATCTGTTTCAGAACCTGTCTGGAGTATATGCAGTGGCTGTGACTTTGATTGAGTTATAACTACGTTGAATGCTACAGTAAGCATAATTTTTCCATTAAAAACAGATGTCGGCAAGTGTCAGTGAATGCTGCTTGACTCTGGACTCTGCAGATTTGACTGTTATTTGGCTAATGGGTTGGTTTATGCAGAAGAGCAGAGTATTGTGTTCTACCTATGGGAAATGAATGGGATCATACAAAAGGACAAGCCTGAAGAAGCAGAAAAAGCTTTAGCTATCTATAATTGAGTGCGGAGGTAAAGTTTCAGCATGGTGTATGGCAATGGAAGGATTGTTTGTCAACAGTTTAATAATAATATTGAAATTGTCCCAAATTTTTACAAATTGGTGGAAATTTGTCCACCAATGGCAATAAGTATCCTCAGATTACTGTATATAAGTTCACTATGAGGGTTGATGCCAGGATTGAATTTTAAAATTGACCTTTCTAAATTTCAGGTTTATTTATGTTTATTTCATTTCAACTTTCCAGGTATGTTAAGTCATATCTGCTTCCGGACAAATCACGACAAAGTAAGAGGAAGACAAAAGTTAAAACTAATACAACTAATCCAGAGTTCAATGAAGTTCTAAAGGTAAGAAATAGTTCTTATGTGCCATATGCTTGCAGTTCCTAGTTTTATTCAGCTCATGTTTAGAGGTGTACTGGAAAATCTGCTCTGATCAGAAGGATGGCTGTATGCACTTTGGTCTCTTCTGGGTGCTCCTGGCCAGCACACCTACATGTGATGTCTAGAAGATTAGACAGATGGATGCAGACAAAGGTTCTCTCGTTGCCAATGCTGCATTTTGTGTAGAAGCATACAGCCACAGCAAGCCAGCACATGTCATCCCGCTTCAATTCAGTAGCTTCTAAGTAGATTAAAATGTGTTTAGGTAAACAGGAAAAATGGTCCAGTTTTCTTGCTCTAACATTATATATAATATGTTATAAACAATATTCACACAATAATCTGTATAGTGGACTATAAATATGAGATGTCTTATTCCATATTGTAGCCCATAACCAGGAATCAGAAACTATGTTCATTCTTAATTAATTGTTCTTACAAGTATAACCTGAAATCTAATTGGCTACATGGGGGATGCTAATGTTGTATGATGTATGATCCTAGCACCTACCTAAATAGTCATTGGAAGTTAAAAACACACCTGTCACCACATGTTCCAACATCTGCTAATGACTTTTTTTTTTTGCAATATTTACCTATACTAGTCCCCACTGTTGCAGCAATCTGTGTAGTGTTCAGGCTGTGCATTTACATAGTCTTTAAAGGAAATCTATCACAAACCTAAAGTGGTTGTAAAGGATTTTCTTTTAATAGGAAACATGTCTATACTTACCCCAAACCTCCTCTTCTTAAGTCCCCCACTTTAACATCTGGCTTATCCTCTCTGGCTAATTCCCCAATAGGAAGCAACTTCCCATCTTCCCATAGGGGCAACCATGCAGGCTCGCTCCTGAGCCCCGCTGCTGCATCCAACACAGACAGCAGGATTTGGCCCCACCTCCTGCTCCTTCATCACTTTGATTGATAGCAATGGCAGCCAATGGTTCTCGTTGCCTCAGCAAAGCCTGTGAGACCCTGAAGTGAGTAGGGAGTAGAGCTGCAAATGTGCACAGCGTTGGATCAAATGAGGGCTCAGGTAAGTAAAAGGGGAGGGGGCAATACCGATGCCTGAATCATTTTTACGTTAATGCAAGGAATACAATAAGGTACAACATGTTTAGGCTTTATAAGCACTTTAACGTGTCAAACTAAGCATGTGAGGAACAAAAACCATGAGTTCACCATGAGTGAAACCTGCAAGTCTGTCAGGATACCAAGTGCTGATATTCAGCAAAAGCTGAGGTAACCAGATCTGGGAATCTGCATAAAGAAAACGTGGCCCAAACTAAATGCAATTATAATAACATTTATAATAACACAGCAAAACCATTAAGCAATATTCAAACACAGGGGCGGACTGACAACTCATGGGGCCCCCGGGCAATAGGGGATCATGGGGCCCCTGTGTCCTTGCCCAAACTCAAAAAAGCCTATTAAAAAGGTACCAGGGGCATCTGATGGGGCCCCCTACTGACCCCGGGCCCTCGGGCAGTGCACGAGTTTCCAAATGGTCAGTCCGCCCCTGGTCAAACACACATGACAAGTAAAAAAATCTGCTATATACAATCAAGGAGAGAAATCGAGTCAAGCTGTGGTACAAGGAACAGAGGGCAACACAGGTCAGGAAGGGGGCCAGAGCAGGGATCAGGTACAAGGGGAACAGGTAGAGGCAGGAGGATCAGGGTAACAGATAGGATATTTGGCACACAGGGAAAATGCTTAGGAATTGTAAAAAGCTATAGGAGGGGATAATTACCCACCCAGCAGTCAGCATCAGGTGGGGACTTATTGCTGGAATCTTTTGTCTGCGGCAAGACACCGGTACTATACCCTTTGGATCTGGGAACCACAGGGCCACCAGCAAGTGATCCAGTTCCTGACTATGTCAAAATGAGATTTTGATCCAGAAACATAGGCAGTAGAAGATATAAGTAAATTTTTTTCACTTTTCCTGCCGATGAGGTTGATTTACTAACAGAGTGCAAAATCTGGTGCAGCTGTGCATGGTAGCCAATCAGCTTCTAACTTCAGCTTGTTCAATTAACCTTTGACAAAAAAAAAACTGGAAGCTGATTGGTTTCTATGTAGAGCTGCACCAGATTTTGCACTCTCCAGTTTTTGTAAATCAATCCCTATGTCAGAGCTTCTCTGTTCTCTCTTCTCCCTTCTTCTATGCCTCCTTATCAGTCAGTAAACCTGCTTAACTCTATAAAGCAGTGGTTCCCAACCTCACCCTTAAATACTCCTAACATTATATGTTTTCAGTATTTCCTGAACCTTGCACAAGTACTTTAATTAACCCCCTCCTGCCGACGCCTCCTGGTCCTTTAAGAGCTTCTAGATGCTGGGAAGTGAAGGCAGGGCATTTGGGCCATGTGACTGGCTGTCACAGCACTCACATGATCGGAAAGCTCCTGATGGCAAGTATGCATTGGGAGGTTACTGATCCCCGCCGGCTACCATGCTGGGAGCATGCAGCGAGCATGCTATCAGCACAGTGAGTTGTTTATACAGGGCCACATATATGCAGCCGTTCAGCATTAAGGCCCACCCACCGAGAGGCTGCATGTATGCGTGTGGTCGGCACAAAGGAGTTAATGTCAGTGGTTTGGTATTTAAAACTTTTTTTTTTCTAAGGGAATTTCAAAACATGGCTTGTTGGGTTACTTGAAGACTGAGGTCAGTAACCACTGCTTTAAAGGATCAATAGGGAGGTTGGGAAAGGGTGGAGTCAAAATTAATCCTTACAAAGTCAACATTTGCATACTGTATATATTCAGTAGTTTTTATGTCTAACTTGATTGATCGTTTTGACATTTTTTCATGATATGCTCAGCATTAGGTTGGTGACAAGCTTATTATAAGATTGAGGTATTTTTGCAGTGATCATTACTCACTACTGTCCAAATAAAGATTATTATTAAAGATTAAAGATAGTCAATTTTGTCAGTTGTATGAAATGCTTTCTGGAGGGAAAATATCAACTGCTTACTTAGATGACATTTTCAAAAATCCTCAAAGAATAACAAAAACATTTAAAAACACAATGTAAACTCCAGGTCGATAATATAGTAAGATATTGCAGAAATCTTGGGAGAGCTCCTATACCTGTCTTTGTCTGTTTGTTTTACTGGACTGTCAGCACAATAGCAAACGGTTCTTAGACAATAGTGTTAATAGGCAGAAATGCTTTTACATGACTTTGGCAAAGTCTCTTTTCATTTTTATCCCTGTCATTCACAAGTAATGGTTCAGATTACTCTCTCAGCCTGGACCATTAAATGAGACAATATAGAACAAAGTGCTGAACATTTACATTTTCCATTCAATGACCAGCTGCAGTTTCCATTTCCTTTTCTAGACTTTGAAAAGAATTAGCACGGCTTTTTAATATTTCTATATACATCTTCATCAGTGCACAAACCATAGCTGGTATTTTTGATGTAACCTAGCAACTATCGGGCAAATTCAAGTAGTTGCTGAAAAATAAACCACGTGCTGTGATGCTTAAGCAGAGATCAGTGCTGGGGACTAATAGTGTTGTGTAGCACATAAATCTCTCTTTTATGTTTGAAATGTGCACGCCACAGGCAGAAATAAGAAGCAGTGATAATTTTTTTTTTCAAAATGTTGGGAAAAATATAACATTTTATATAAAATATAAAATAAAAAACATAACATATAGAACTAGTTAATGACCTTTAAAAGTAGTAATTTTAAAAATGTATTTAAGTTAAAGATGTAGATGTTATAAACAGAGCATCAATTATATTTGCTGCCCCGCAGGTAAACTCGCGTCTTCCCCAACCTCACCCCATTTTATTTGACAAGCCCTGGAAAAGCATGTTAGCTGTTGTAGATGTTGCATTGTAGATACTCATGTGGAAGTCAGTTACAAACAGGGGCGGACTGACAACTCATGGGGCCCCCGGGCAAAAGGGGATCATGGGGCCCCTGTGTCCTTGCCGAAACTCAAAAAAGCCTATGAAAAAGGTACCAGGGGCATCTCATAGGGCCCCCTACTGGCCCTGGGCCCTCGGGCAGTGCCCGAGTTTCCAAATGGTCAGTCCGCCCCTGGTTACAAAGACTGTGGCCTAAACATTCTTCCATGGTATTGACACTGGAGAACTTCCCTCCTCTTTGAACATCCTCCTTTTTTAAAAAAGAAAAGTTTTTGTATACATACTGTATCTGTTTTGGGGCTGTCTTCCATTAATGATGTCTTGGTGTCTTTCTCCTTATATTCCCGGGGTGGCATCAAGGGGGTCTCCTATTATTATTATTATTATTATTATACAGGATTTATATAGCGCCAACAGTTTGCTCAGCGCTTTACAAAGGGAGACTATACAGCAGCAATACAGTTCAATACAGGAGGGTTAGGAGAGCCCTGCTCCTTGGAACTTACCTAACAGGAAGGGGCTGGTGGTACAAAAGGTAATAACTGTGGAGGATGGATGATGCACTGATGTGGGCACTGTTCTCTGAATCATTCTTCTCTCAGCTCAGTTTGATGATTTACCCCCAGGGAGTGTGTTTTTGGTATCCTGGACTTATTTTTAAATGGTGGGGGGTTGTTTGAGCATAGTTTGGCTTTAATAACTAGAAATAGAAGGACATGCAAGACGTAAGGTGTGATGGTTTTAGGAAACTTTTTCATACGTAAGGGGCTGATAAAAGGAGAGTTGTAAAGGTGCAGCTTGCCAGCTCTGCCTTAGCATGCCTACACGTGAACAGCATAGTAGGATTATTCATTCCATTTTGGGTGTATTGGCCTACAACTGACAAACCCTCAGAGCTCAGATGGCATGGTAGTAGCTCTGATGGGCAGAGGAACAAACTAGCAGTGATAACAATAGGAGTATTATACTGAGTCTGTTATCAGCTTCATATCTAGCTTGGTGTTGTCCTTGGTGAACCTGTCACCATAGGCCACAGTCTATGTATCCTGTGCAAAAATCAGACCCTGGTTGTAAAATTCAGCCACTTTGTGGTACACCTGCTTGCTATCACAATTAGCAAACAGCACGTTATGTGACTGCATAAAAAGCTTTAGTTGCTATTTAAACATACTGTATATTAGAATAATATATATGCACAATATAAATGACTTTGACTGTGGAAAGATTATTACATGGTGGTTGCAGCAAATAAGAAATTACTTACCTCCTGGGATTTTAAGTCTTTACAGTTCTGTAGACAAAACCAGTACCAGTACCAGAACCAATGAGGGCACCATACTAACTCAGAAAATTGTAATCCCAGGGACAGGTGGTCAGGTCCAACTGTGCTCAAAATAGCTGATGCAGTTAGACCTGACCACAACTGCCAGTGTATAGACAACCTGTTTGTAACCCTTTGCTCTGACCGATATAGTCTAACACGGTAAAAGATGTCTAGTTCTTTCTAATTTGGCAATACAGTCAAATCTGCCTGAAATGTGACTTCTTGTGGTTTATTCCAGCCAGTGGAACTTTAATATATTTTTTCACTAATAACGAAGAAAATGTACTGTTAACCCTTGGTGCCCAAGGGTAAAACAAATGTTAATGCCTGAACACAATTTTGCAACTTTAACATGTGTTAGTAAAACTGTAAAACTTGGCTTTTTCTGGTAAACGGTAATGGATATCTGCTTTTTTTATTATCAAAGGAAAACTGTCCCAAAATAGTAAAAGAAAACTTTTTTTTTTTTTAAAATTTAGCTGTATATTTTCTTGCTACTACCATAACCTACCACAAAAGAACAAACCGAAACAAATTCTCCTGTTCCTGGTGTTTGCAGCGTAATCACATGTGTGTGATATTTATTCTTTGTTCTGGCCTAGAAACAATAGTGTTCATTTTGGGGTTTTTTTAATCCCACTTAAAATATACTGACACTAACATTTTTTTTTTGTATCCCAATCCCTAAATATACTGATCATGACCTCTGACCCTAACTGTTGACCCCTACCTTGACCTTGAACCCTTACCTTGACCTTAACCCTGGCACTGACCTAGCTATATTTTTTTTTTTATTTTTTTCTTTCTTTATTTTTTTTTACACATTTTTATTTGTTTATATCTTTTTCCCCTGCAAGGAGAGAAAGATACAATGTATCTTTCTCTCCATTCAGAAGAGAAAGAAAACACATCAGGGGCTATCATAGTGTTCAGGTGGCTGAGAACTGGGAGTCCTGGACCCCAGGGATCTTGGTGAGAGCCCAGTCTCTGCACTGGGAGTGTGCTGTACAGCACAGAGGCAGGTACACATACAATATATGTGGCGTCTCGGATGAAGACCCACTTCAGTGAGGCCACATATATGCGTACTGTCAGTGGGAAGGAGTTAATATTGTATTTTTATGTGAGCATCTCCCTTCATCTAATGTTTGTGTTTATTATTAAAGTGGAACATCTCAATACAATATCTCAGATGCACCTAGAGTTTCCAATTTATGTTATACATTTTGTAAAACATAAAAACCTGCAGGTGTAAATATGTGCCAGCAGTAATATTTACTGGTGCGTTACAGATGGAGATTGCATTTTATGACTATAAAAAAAAACATTAATTTGTCTTCCTTGAAATGTAGAAACAAAAACAGCAAATGTCTCTCAGAGGAGCCGAGTCATTACACTGTAATAGCCAACATTGATTTTAAAACTCATCCAAGTTAATACAGCTTAACTACAGCTAATGGATGTTAAACTTTACATGTGCAAATTTAACAGAAGCTTCCTGACACCATTGCTTATAATTGTTGTGGACAAGTACAAGAATTAACGTAGCCACAGACCTCAGACAGGAAGGTTACAAGAGGTGTTTTCAGCAATTCCGGCTTAAAAGATGGGAAATGGAGGGAGCACAGTCAGACACATCCAGCACCAATTTATTTCAGGAGAAACAGTAGCGATTAGATAAAGTTTTCTAAATGAATCAACTGATGTTTCCCCTGAGATTGATCAGCCAAGGGTGTTTGCTAGTAACTATAACTGACAAATTGTTGCTTGGTCTGCCTGAATTTGATCATATCAGATAATTATTTTCTTACAGCAAGTGGTGCACATTCCCCTAGGGTCGTTGGTTCAAATCCCAACCATGACGCTACTTGCTGTTTGCATGTTCTCCCTGTGTCTGTGTGGGTTTCCTCCAGGTACTCCGGTTTATAATATTACCTGCTAATGATTCATCACAGACATCCAATTCCTAAAACGTATTTATTATGACTGTATATTCAGGAAAATTATTGTATCACCTCTACCATATAATTGTAAGTTATTACACTGTACTCTTTTATTAATCTTACACTCTTTACTATTTTGTGGTTTTTTTTTACAGTATGTAATCAGTCATACTCAACTGGAAACCAGAACCCTGCAATTATCTGTATGGCATAATGATCGGTTTGGGCGTAACAGCTTTTTAGGAGAAGTAAATATTCCTCTTGACACATGGAACTTTGAAAATCAAGAGGATGAGTCCTTCACATTGGAAGCCAAAGTGGGTCTAATTTTGACATAAATTGACTTACATTTAGTGGCATATTTATAAATAAGGAAATGTGAAACTAAATATTTACTGGTAGTGAAGCTTCCTGGTGCATGTGTTTTTAATTACCTGAAACGATTAACCACCTGTGAATTTTTTAGTGAATGTCACATTAAGCCCTGGTTCCCTGCGGTTTGACAGTTCCAACGAAAAACACCGACCAGGACCTGTACGGTAAATGGTGGACTTTGAGGGCACAGCATGAGACAGACCAAGTACTTAAAAAGAATACACTTTATTATACAAAATGTAATAACATTGTATATTAAAAGCTATTGATAAGCACCTGCCATCTGTATATGTGTCATGCTCCCTGTAGGGTTGGTTGTTGGTTGTGGTCCCCTATGTCCGCCCCAAGATTGGTTGATTTGAACCCTAGGGACTACCATCATACCTATGTAAGCGATGCAGTCTTCGTAGATTAATTTATGTTTTCTATGAAATGTGTGTATATGAGTCTAATCTTTATTTGTTTAATGATAGTAGTAGCTGCTCCCTCTATGTTATATGGTCCTGAAGATGCTGCAATACAAGCGAAACACGTTGGCCATGAACACTGGAAAAAGAACAATATACAGTTGTTTGCCATACTACTGTTATCATCAATTATTTAATTTGAATGGTTCTAGAGGGAACATATTCTTAGACGGGATCCCCTCTGTCGTGACTATCCCCACATGGTGCTGATCAATAGCTTTTAATTTACCATGTTTTTAAATTTTGTATAATAAAGTGTATTCGTTTTAAGTACGTGGTCTCATGCTGTGCCCTCAAAGTCCATCATTTATTGTACAGGTTCTGGTTGGTGTTTTTCGTATGTATTGTTGGATGTTGCACCTTGAAAGCTATGATTCTTTAATTGACAGTTCCAAATCGACAAGTAGCACCCCATTATCAGCAATTGAACCGTCCAAAATGGCGTGACTCCGACTTTGCGTTGCCGATTTGAAAGAAAGGTTCCTGCTCTATTTTTTGTGATTTCAGGTGTGACTTGCGTAGACATGTCTCTAGGTCTCTGTTCAAGTGAAGTCGCACAATTTCAAAATCAGACTCTGTGTGAACCTAACCTTAGTGCTTCATAAATATGTTCCACAGTCTCTGTGCTTATACATCATCACCATTTCACCTTGCACAACAGCAAAGATGTCAGAGAAAATGGAAGGGTAGAGTTTCTAGTACAGGTTCAAAAGTTTTAGCATCACCCCCCCTTCTCCAAAACTAACCAGCCTGGCACACCACTCATACAGGCTGGTATCCCCATAGCAGAGTAACAGAGTATGCAGTTCCCTGCTATATTGATACTAGCCTGTATGCTCTTCCGAATGACTGAGGGACATGCAGAATATCGAGGCTAACACTTACCACCTAACCAACAAAACGACCACCCCCTCAACCTTCTCCCACCTGAAATAACCACGCGCGACTCTCCTTTTTGGTGTAAAAACGGCCATAGCAGCCCATTTATTTAACATGACTATTACATAACACTTCATACAGTACAATCAAAATAATAACTGACAGTAACGATCCCAACTGGGTCCAAGGTCTGCAAAGGCACTGTTAATCACATAAATAACTCGGCTGTATCTGACACCCAATGAAAAGGCCCCAACTTCTACTACACCGCCTCGGGGACAATACTACAGCTACGTAGTCCCAGATACATTCCATTACTACAACCTTACCAACGTAACTTTATAATTGGGAAGGAACACCCATACCTACGATGGGCCCAACCCATAATCCACCAAATCACTCCAGCACCGCCTTCAAAGACCCAGCAACCCCTACTAGCTGCCATGACAAAAACAAAAAAACGCAAGACAAGCACCCCAAAACACAAAAAGCAAATCAATGAAAGAAAAAAAACCCACACAAAAACCAAATGACAAGACAAAAACAAAGGACAAAAAAACAAAAGGAAGAAACATTAAAACAAAACAACGAAACAGGTCCAGAGAGGGATGGCGGGAGAAACTTCACCCATACTGGTACAAGCTCTGACTGACACCCGACAAGTCCCAACCCCTCTCCTCATCCTGGAAAGACCACCCTCATACTCAAATACTCCAGTCAGGTGAGTAACCACCCCTACCACATGAATATACTCCCACCCTATTCAAATCTCCGCCTCGTCTGCAAGCCCCAGTCATGCTGGCCCTCCTCTAAGATTCACTCATTTCCAGGCATGTACTTTATAGAATGCATTCAGAGGGGTCTTGCATGGGATACTAGGGATTATGGGGAGGTATATGAATGTACCGGCAAACCCAAATTTGACTAAAGTATCAGTGACATAAATTGTTCATTACCTGCTGAAATTAGATGCATTCGTTCATTGAAGAATTTTGTTTTGTCATATTTGTTATGTTAAACCGATTCTTTTTTGGAATTCTTTTCTTATGTTCTGCATTCATTTCGTGTATTTGATGGTCTGGGTGGATTAAAATAATTTAACAGTTTTTCCAGAAGATTGCTATATATTCGATACATTATCAAATTGCATGGATTTGAATTGGAAAGATTCAATATTTTTGGACGCTAGTCCAACCCACCAAGAAAAATGGCATGAGCTGACTGGACAATGTCGACTGGCGTCATGTGTATCCAAATTAACAAATGAAACAAAATTCATATCCATTTGTTATCCGAACTTGAATTATCAAACAAATTCCAAAATTTAATTAACTTCCCCATGGGTCCAAACTACTAAATCATGTGATGTCATTCTAATGCAGTGCTCTCCAAACTGCAGCCCTGGGGCCAGATGTGGTCCTTTGCTTGCTTGTATCTGGCCCTTGAGGCACTAATTTATCCACTGATACCAACAATGGGCTATTATTCCCCCCATTGACACCAATAACAGGGCACAACTTTTCTCAAAACACCAACAATGGGCCATTAACCCAAACCCCCCCCCACACACACACACACACACAAACACACACACATACACACTAATGATGAGGTGCACTGTTCTTTCCACTGTCACCCATGATGAGGCATTTTTTTTTTTGGACCTTTTTGAGTCCCGATGCCCATAGTCCAGCCCACTTAACGTTTGAAGAACAGTGAACTAGCCCTTTGTTTAGAAAGTTTGGAGACCCCTGTTCTAATGAAGCTACTGTATTTGTTAATTTCGGTATAACTTTTATTTGGATTCACTGACATTTGATACTATGTCCATTCAGAGATTTGTTTAAATCTGAATCTCCGAAAAATGAAATTATTTTGGAAAAACGAATCGTAAAATGACATGCACATGTCTAGCTGGGAGCCACTATAAGCAAAGAGACCCGATCCCTGTGCTGATTGGCTCCTTCATCCCCCAGCTTTGGCTGCTGCATATAGCACAGTTTTCTTTTAATAACTTCATTTGTACAAAATAATCATATGTTTGTCTTTATAACAAAGAAAAAATTGTTCAATATCTATCTAGAACAAATTTCTTAATGTACATTATAGAAAGGAAATACAGTATATTGTTTAAAATAATGGCAACATTGACTTTGCTTCTTAGATGGATATGACATCTGAAGTAACCCTGCAGTATAAAGGAGAAATAATAGTTGGGTTACAGTACATTCCTCCTGAGAAAAACCTCACTCTTCCATTGGAACCAGTGACAACAGGTAAGTCTTTTCTCCAAAGTAACCATCAGTAGTTTATAGCTCAGCCTTCTTGGCTTTCAGAGCCATTTTATAGCTGCTAAGTGTTGTGCTCTGTTTTTCACATTTAATTTCAAAAAATGGGAAAAACGCAACTGGAAAAATGATTTATTGTAATTATAATTTTTTTTTTAATTCTGCAGGAAAGAAAAGTTTTAGAAGGTCAAAGAAAATACCCATGCCAACTGGAGGAATACTAGAGGTACAAATAAAAGAAGCCAAAAATCTAACTGCAGTGAAATCAGGGACTTCAGACACATTTGTCAAAGGGTAAGGCAAAATGTTTTCTGTAATCCTTTGTTTCATAATAATGTGAAATTGGCATCAAACTGATTCTTTAGATTGTCCATTATCTCATGAAAAGGTGTTCAGTTTTTTTTAGAACATAAACTGTTTTTTTTTCAGTGAGAGTTCTAATATAAAATATTTCTCTGATTTTGTTTTTGGAATAGTGCAATTATGTGCTGTGAATATAAAGGAGCCTCATACTGAAAATGTTCCTTTATTTTCTTTTTTTGATGACTAATGCTCAGCATGATTTTTATGCCTCATACATATTTTGTATTGTATTGAATGTGTCAAATACATTATAAAAACCTCAGTATAACTGCAGATTTATGCAGACATGTACTGTTTAAACTGTATCTAAACCCAAGAACAGAGATTTAATATATTGCAGTTTACCAGTCATTAGATGTAGTGGCTGTATTTCTTTCTTTATTTAGGCTTTTTCCATTAAATTTCCCCTACTGATCCCGGCAGTAACAGTTTCTGTTCTAGGATAACTGCACTTATTTAGTGTACTGTATCAATGTCATCACCATATGACTACAGAATACCTCCTACTCTCCCATCTAATTAACATAGTGGAAAGGTGTTCTGTAGTTCACAGAGGTGAATTTGACTGAGTTGATAACACTGCTTGAGATAACACTATGGAGTGTACTGGAGCTTGCAAGCTGTGTATTTATGGAAGGATCAACAGGTGTTATTTTGTACTTTTTGAACAGCTATAACAAAAATGCTTTCAATTCTATATATAAACAGACAAAAAGAGAGCAAACAGAGAAGTTTATTGATAAAGCAGTAGTAAACCATCTTAGAAAAAAATAAATAATTACTGGTCCCCCTGCAGGCTCATGTCATAATGTGCTAGCATGCACCTAAAAAACAGATCTCTCCAGTGGGGCACTGTTGCCATTGACAGGGTGTCCATCTCCACCCGTTCTTCTTTCCAGGTTTGTGGACTCTGGTTGTTTGAATGGCCAAGCCGCTATGAGATCACTCCCATGCATGCTCACAGGAGTCATGGTTACGACACAGTTGGTTCTGTTACAGTGCGCTGGTAATGTCACTGGCTGCTATACATATAAGTATATCCTTATTATAGGCCTGTAGGTACAAGATAAAAAAGCGGACTTCACTACCACTTTATTTTCCCATGCAGTGTGGCTGTGCCAATGCTGCAGCTGCTGCTCGATTACCCCCCTCCCATGACACCAGTACTGCTCTGCCCCACAGCTGCGTCATTCACAGCGTTCTGCGAATGAGTGAACCACAAGACCCAACAGCCTTGGCATCTGGCGGCTTGTAGTTCTCAATGAACTTCCACAGAGCTGTGGAGTGCTGTGGTAGTTCATTGATTCTTCTTGTCGTTATATCTGTTTGCCCATACATCCTGTACTGGCAAGCAGACTGATTGACAGATCTGCAGGAGACCTGCATAGCACCAATGATCTGCAATGCTTTACAGGCTCCTGCAACAAAAAATAATAAATGCACATTTTTTTTTACCTGGAAACACTTATCCTTTAAGTGTGGCCCCCAATACTTCAAGAGGGCCACACAATAGCAACATGTTTAATGGAGGCAGCTCATTTGGGTTCAGGTTTCAGGAAGGAACTTTTTCCCCCTGCTGGAGCAAATAGGATCAAGCTTTGTTGTGTTTTATGCCTTCCTCTGAATCAGCTGTGGGTATAGGATTGCGTATACAGTATAGAGGTTTTCTGTTTGTTTTTGTTTTTCTCTTTTCCTATTGGTTGAACTAAATGGACCTGTGCCTTTTTCAGTCTAACTAACTATGTAACAGTGTAAATATGTAATTAAATTTGTTATTATTAGTAGTAAAATTGTTTGTTTTAGTGAGGATTATTATTAGTTATTATTATTATTAATAAAATTGTTCTTATTAGTGAGGATTTACTGTGAGTGCCAACAGTTTGTTCAGCACTTTACGAATTAAAGGAGACTGTACAGTTCCATATAAGAGGAAACAGAGGGCCCCACTTGTTAGAGTTTACAATCTAAAAGGGAATTATCATCCCTTGCAATGGTGCTGCCCTGCAATGTTTTATTGTGAATGTACCAGTTTGCTTGGAGCCCCACTTAAAATGTGACGTGTTTAACAGATACATTTTAGGGGGTTCATTGTGAGTAGTATTTTTCTATACTAACATTTTATTTTTATCTTTTAGATACCTATTACCTGTTAACAGCAAATCCACAAAACACAAAACTCCCATCATTAAAAAGTCAGTGAATCCCCAATGGAACCACACTTTCTCCTTCACAAGTCTAGAGCCGAGTGACTTACAGAACGTCTCCCTGGAGCTGACCGTTTGGGATAAGGAATCTTTGACAAGCAATGTGTTTCTGGGTGGAGTCTGCTTGAGTTGTGGCAGTGGTGAGTAAACAATCATATATCTTTTTTTTTTTCTGTTGAGTTCCAATCAAATAATATCAAGGCACTAATTTGTAATTAGATCTGTGAGAATTCCTTGAACAGGCAAATTAGAATAATGTGTGAAAAAGCAATATTGCGGCCACTAAATCAGTGAATACATCAAACGTTTGTGAATGATGCCAGCATTAGTGACAGCTACCCTTAAATAGATAAATACACTTATAAATTAAATTTGTGAATAGGTAGGCGCTAAGTCAATATATCATATGAAAAATGATACCAAAATGATCTAACAACAACATCAAATAACTAAAAGACCCAAACAAAATATATATTAAACATATAGTGAGTGACAGTCCCATGAAAATAGGATCCCGTAGATCAAAGAATTTTCTTCTTCACCACGTGTAGACAATAAGTAAATTCTTGACTCACCAGAAATTATTGACCCCGGTTAAAGTGGTCAAAAAGTGCTTTATGGTCATGCAACAAGCTGACAGCCAGCAGCAAGCTCTCATGGACCGAGTCTTCTGATCTCCTAGTATGGAATATGGATCCAGAGGACCAAGGATGGTGGCACCCAGATAGGTGGTCTTGAAGCTCTGGGTGCACAAATATTGGATGGATTCCCAATCCCAGGCTATCCTCAAGGTATAGATAATGCTCCAAGTAGCCATGTGGTTGGAGATGGAAAAAATCCCATGCTGCCCCTATGATGGCCGTGTGTTCAGGATGGAGACAGAGCTCCATCCCATGAAATTGAAGAGCCCAGCACTGAAGCTGGCAGTATCGCCCATCTACCATAGATGTTTTCGGAAATCGGATTGTCTCTGGTCATCTTTATGGTATTAGGGACCAGAACTGGACAGTATTTTGTCACTTCTTGTTTAGAAGCTATTACTAGCTTGTACAAGGGCAGAAGAGACATCTGGGGTCTCATAGACCCCAGATGTCTCAGTAAAGAGGACCTGTCACTGCTGATTTTTTTGATGACAAGGATGTTTACATTCTTTGTGACAGCAGTAAAAGTGATTTACTGCTTAACCACTTCCCAACCGGCCGTTGTATATAAACGGCTGGACGGTGGCACTGCAGGGTCGGGTGGCCGTTTATAAACCGCGATCCAGTGCCCGATGTGTCCTCCGGAGACAGTGAAACACCGATCGTGTGAGGTCCCGATCATGTGATCACTGATTGGCCAATCAGTGATCACATGCAAAGTAGTAAGCAAGATATCACTTCTGACATCATCATTGCTTACTACGTGTGAAATCTGTGAATGATCACAGAGGTCACATGGTACAAGGCTATTCACAACAGCCTTGTACCATGTGACAAGCTGTGACCAATCACAGCTCACTCAGTAGATCTCAATGGCTGCAGGAATGCAGACAGAGAGGAGAAATGATTGCTTTTACATCCTATATGGGTGTAAAAGCAATCAGTGTGTAAAAAAAAAAAAAAAAACATCACCTCCCAAAAGTAGTAGAGTGTCACCATGGTGACACTGTACTGCTGGAGTGACAGTATGTAAAAAAAAAAAAAAAAATAAATAAATAAAATAAATAATATTATAAAAAAAAAAATTTTTGTAAAAGTTTAAAAATTATAATTTTTGGTTATAAACTAATTTGGCTTATTTTTTTTTTTTTACTAAAAAGATAACGGAATACATTTTGGCCAAGATTTATGATGAAATATTATTTATTTGCTAAATTTTATAAGAAAAACACTTTTTTTTTTTCAAAATTTTGGACATTTTCATTAACATAGCAAAAAAAATAAAATCCCAGCGGTGAATAAATACCACCAAAATAAAGTTTTATCTGTCTCAAAAAAATGGTAAAAAATTTATATGGGTACAGTGTTGCATGACCGTGCAATTGTCATTCAAAGTGTGATAGCGCTGAAAGCTGAAAATTGCCCTCGTCAGGAAGGGGGTAAAAGTGTCCGGACTGGAAGTGGTTAAAAAAACATATATAATATTTTGAGGTTCTAAGTAATTTTCTAGCAAAAAAAATATTTTTACATGTAGGAGAGAAATCTCAGTATAGGTTTTGGAAGCAGGTGGCTAAAAAAAATACGGCCGCGTGGGGCTCCGCCCACCCGCCAACGTCATTTATTCACAGAGATCTGTGAATGAGAGAAACTACAAGTACCGACAGCCTTTGTGGCTGTCGGCTTGTAGTTCTCAATTAATTAACAGGGCGCTGTTGAGGACTCTAGGTAGTTCATTGTTTAATTCCTGTCATTGTAACAAGCAGACAGCTTACACTGACAGTCTGCAGGAGTCCTGCATTGCATCCACGATCTGCTGATTGCGGGTGCCATGCTTTGCATGCTTCTAGTAAAAAAAAAAATTAAATGCATATATTTTACCTGCAAAAACGATGCGTGTTTATTATTTTTTTTACCAAATATGAGCTTATCCTTTAAGTATCGTATGATTTTTGTGTACTAGAATCTTTAGCATTAGTAATCTACCTTGGGCAAGTCATAAATGATGCGATTTTATTTCTTGCAACCACAGGTCACTGACCACAGTTAGTGTTGATGGGAGAATCTGTCCAGCAGCACTATTGTGTTCTGCAAGCAGGTTAGGCTTCCAGCAGGGCTGCAGGAGGGACTCCCTCATCTACACTGACAGTGTTGATGGGGGAATTTATTTCCCCCCCCCCACATTGATTACTGCCGGTGGCTATAGCCACCGGCAGTAATCACATGCAATAAATTGGACAGGCTGGTTGTCCTGAAGTCAATCAATGGATCCACTTCAGCACAAACAGCCTGCCAATAGATGGATTACATTTTGGCCAGTCCCTGCTGCAACAGCCAAGGTTCGATCCATCTATGACTGGCTTTAGACTTATTTGGAAGACAGGTATTTTATATTTAATTTTCATATTGTTACATCATTCGCCTTTGAACGTAATTTTCATTGTCGGAAAATGAAAGCTTAACTTGGACTTCTGAGTGTAGTTCCCGGCATGTGATCTACTAAAGGGCACCACACTGTGCAGACATCTTCAGTCTCCATTGTAATCTCCTTTAAAGTTAATTTCATGGATGCCTAATTTGATAGCGGTTCAGCTGAAGACTTTGTAATCCTTCATCTGTGAAGATATATACCATTGTAATTATTGTAATTAGCTCATGAGATGCCTTTGCTAACAAAAACAAATGGTCACATTGTTTTGTATTTCAGTCCATTTTTCTAATATCCAGGCCTGCAGTTTTGCAAAATTATTTTTTGATATTCATTATGCAGTCTTATTAAATGAACTAATCAACAATCTCATTTTAATTAGAGCTGCAGTATTACTTCAGGAGAATGGTTTGGCTTAAAGAGAATGTATTATTGGAATTAAGAGCATTTTGCCTTTGTATTTATTCACAATGTTTCTTTTGAACATGCATCCACTTAGTCTAATCATTGAAGGATGGCTGGGACTGGTTATCAGTGTTCATTTATAAATACATCAATTTACTGGGTTTGTTTCATATAGTGTACTGGGTTCCTTCTTATTGATAAAAGTACAGATGCACCACATGAAATTAAATAAGCTTTTGGTAAGAGAAGAAAATAGAGCTTCTTAAGACTGAACTCCAGGCAAATAACTAAATACATATATGGGAACTGTTTCATCTACCAAAGTAGCTACATCTCTGTTCATCCAGTTCTAGGATTTACACAGCTCTATCAAATAGTCCACAGCAGTTAAGTAACAACTTTACAGGTCTTGTCCCTCTCCCCGCCTGTAATTGGACAGTGAAAGAATAAGCAACTCACTAGGTCACTCTATTTTCCCTTTCTGTTAGAAGGCTCACAATCAGGCCTGGACTGGGACACAAAATAGGCCTGGGCAGTTTGGACTGAGCAGCCCCAAACCCGAGGACCCTTTCCTTGGAGTCCAGTGGTGGAATGCCAGGGCCCGGCCACAAGAGCGACCTTTGCGACCCTGGTAGTTCCGCTGCTAGAGTCAGTAGGTTTTTATTTTATACATTATTATTCTTTTACATTTTTTGTAAGAGCCCCATTGGTGGGCTTTTGTGAGAGGGGAAGGAAGACACAAGACTGCCGGGGAGTGTGGGCGGGGCAGACATAGGAGGAGGGGCAGAACCAGCTTTCTCTCTCCTCTCCTGTCTGTGGTAGTGGGGGGAACTGTCAGCGCTGGGTACAGTCTATCCTGACAGAACCAGTGCTGCAGAAGATGAGGGGGGCCAGCCGCAGGGGGAGCATACAGGACCCACGGCAGGAGGAGATGGATAAGAGGGGCAGCCGAGAGGCACATAGAGGAACCGAACAGTGCATTTCTCACCTGCCACCTCTGAGTGCCTGCAGGAGGGAGAGGAGGAGAAGCAGGCATTCAGTTGCAGCAGGTGAGAAATGCTCGGTCCAGTTCCTCTATATGCCTCCCCTCCTATCCAGATGGCCCCAGCCCACCAGGCAAATGCCCAGTGTGCCCTATGGCCAGTCTGGGCATGCTCACAATCTAAGCTCTGCTGTACAGTGAACTGCAAGAGGCTGATACCAGGTCAAATTCAGACATTTAAGCTGGCCATAGGTGGATCAAATCTCAGCTCGTAAAGCAGGGGACTGGCCAAGGTTCGATCTATCTATGGGCAGGCTGGTTGTACCCAAGTGAATTGACTGATCAACTTGGGTACAACCAGCCTGTTGGATTTTTAACATGCAATTACTGCTGCTGGTTATAACCGCTAGCAGTAATCAATCTGTTCTGCTGGCTGGGAAAGCTTCCTTCCAGCAGAACACAATACCGTTTCAGGGTCAGTGTCGGGTGGAAGATAATGTGGAGTGTGGAGCCTGGGAGGGGGCCAGGAAGGAGCCTACCTGCAGCAGGCAGGATCTTGGAAGGAGGATCTCTCAGCCTCAACCATCCCCTGAGAGAGGACAGCCTGGGAGGCAGGGAAGCCAGTTCAGTGTAAGGCCTTAAGGCAGTCACCAACCCATAAGCTTACAGGAAAGGGCTGAGTGAGTAATCCTGCATCCCCTGGGCCAGATAAGGGGAGAGGGCAGTCAGGTGGCAAACCGAACTACCTCCTCGTCTGGGGCTGCTCTACTATTGTGGCAGTTTTTGGGTCCCCTTGCTCGGGGATTCCCTCAGACTGCTGGGTGAAGAGGAGGATTCATCTGGGGTCTGAGGAAGAACACCAGATGGGCTATTCAAGGAGAGGATATTTGTCTATGGATTTGTACATAGTTGCTAAGGAGATTTGTCCTCAAGTTCACAGTTGCATGGGCATCCCATACACCCCTCCACCCCATCCAAGTTCAATACCCCTTAATAAAATCACAAGAAACAAGCTCAAAGACTGTTTACTGTCTCCAGTGTGCAAGTGTTGAAGAAAATGTGTATTGCCTGACTGTGGAGGACTATAGGGGGACCCAAAACTCAGCAACTCTTAAGGGGGTAGTGCTACACACCCGGGGTGGAAGGAAAGAAAGTGGAATCATCTATGGCGGGGGTGTAAAATCTTTTGACTCTCCTGGGCAGTATTGGAAGATCAGGAATTCTCTCAGACCATGCATAAAAAACACTAACAATAAAGATAGCTGATGAGCAGAAAAAGTCGGGCACATCACCATAACAGTAAAAGAGAGCAAAATAAAACCATTGCGATATTTGACACTGTTGCAAATACTCAAAAAGACCTATGGGGCTTTAAGAATGCCTCCAGTAGTGAAAGCGACAGCTGATTAAAATTACTTATGCTATTTTATTAAAACAAAAAAAAATCCATAAGGGCTAATACATTTTTTTGTATTAATAAAATAGCATACGTAATTTTAATCAACTGTCATTTTCACTACTGGAGGCATAATTAAAGTCCCATTGGTCTTTGTTTTCACATATGGATAATGCCTCCCATAGCGTAATTGCAATGGATTGCTTGTCTACAACACTACACCTATTTGTGTATTTACATGAAATCTTATGGGGGAGCACCCTCATGTGGCACTTACTCAGCTAGCGGGAGTCCCTCCATGCGCTGCCGTATTATAGCAAACATAGCATCCCTTCTGAAGTGCCTGGGTCATGCTTGTCTGTGTTGGCCATGGCCATGCATACTAATGCATACCAAACACGGCATCCCTGGCATCCCTCTAGATGTTCAGCATGCAGAACCCTCTTGTGCTGCTTGCGACTTGTGGGCCGCAAATTAGACACACCTGATCTATGACTTGCCTTAGCCTGCTTGCATTTAAATATACACATAATGATTTGGATCAACTTTATTTCAATTATTTTAAAGCTGATCTCCAGACAGATATTATTGCAGCTATGTAATCAATAACACATCTTTAAATCATCCTTTTAATGCAAGGAGTGTAATTAGCTGAATTTGAGTATTATCTTTTTGCAATCAACTGTACAGCAGAGCTCAGACTGGCCGAGTGAAAAGTAGCACAGGGAGTTAATCAGCTGCAGTTCAAGGAGTATGCTGGTAGAAGGTGAGAGCAGAGTGCTGGAAATGAGCTCTTCAGTGTGCTGCATCTTCTTTCACAGTCCAGTTACAGGGTGGGGGTGGGCAGGGGGCCTGTAAGTGTTATTGAAATGCAACAGAGAGAAATCAGGTCTCCTTCTCTGCCAGGCAGGGTTGTGCTATGCGGCAGAGTTGTTTAAATCTCAGACCTGCATGAACAGAAGTGAAAATCCCATGGCAGGTAAAAGAGCTTTCGTATGTGAATTTAATCGGTGTTTGCCTGGAGATAAACTTAAACTGTTTAGGTTGATTTTGATGCTGTAAATATACTCTCTTTACTTCATAAATAAGCATTCAATGCACAATTACAGAGTGCAGGACACAGGCATAGACATAGACAACTGGGTTGTACTGTATGTTTTACCTGCAGGGGATTGGTATCACCATATAATCCAGTTGTCTACCGCTATGCCCGTGTCATGCACTGTACTCCAAGAAAAAGATTTTACAGGTAATTCAACAATAATAAATAAAATTTTACTTGCACATGATTGGTCATTTTTTGCAAAGTGAACGAAAGCGAAGGAAAGTGAAAATTTACTTTGTGAAATGAGCATGCTCTACCTCTTTAGTACATCAGTCAATTTGTTAGTAGATTTACAAAGCTTGGAAAGATGAACTTTGCAAAATCTTAAATAAATAATAAAAATCCACATTGTATTAATATAGAGCTGGAATATTAGACACCCCTGTGATCTGGGAACACATTTTGTATATAAGATGAAGAGTGCTTGATGGACAATGGTGATTGGACAAAAGGGGTTACTGCAGAACATAGTGTTCAGTATGTTGTTCCCTCTACTGCTGCACTATCCTTACTTGTTGGTCACATGTACCATGTGTGCCATTATATTTTACTGAATGAGGGAGCGTGAATGTAAGGCAGATTCCAAAAATACATAGAAAACCTCTATATACACAGTCCTATACCCTCAATTGATCCAGAGGAAGGCAGAAACATATAAGCATGTTCCAATATACTCCATTAAAAAACTACACCAAAACACACACACTCCTCCCTAAACCAGTAAAAAACACAGTAATCACAAGTTAATGAATATCATGTATACAAAATACCACCTATAGATCTAGAAACTGTCAGTGACCACTCAACAGTGACAAACATCAGCTATTAAACAGAGAGTCATCCTGGCAATTACAATCATAAATCATTGGAAATGAATGACACAGGTAACCCAAAAAGACACTAGACACATGGTTACTATACAGTAACTCAGAAGCAGTCTTTTGCAGCATGGAGGGCAGAGCAGGTAACTCCAGGTACATGTAAAGATAGAACAGAAAAAGCCAGCGCAGGAAATTACTCTAAAGCCAGCCATATATGGATCCAAATTGGGCCAGTTTAGCAGGAACCGGCCGAATTTCCATCCATGTATGGGCAGGCTGGTTGTACTGAAGTTGATCTATCGATTGACTTCAGTACAACCAGCCTGTCAGATTTTTTGCATGTGATTACTACCAACAGCTGTAGCCACTAGTAGTAATCCTTATGGGGAGGGGTCCCAAACAATCGGTGCCCCCAGCTATAGCTGGCAACACTGAACATTGTATTCTGTTGACAAGGAAGGCTCTCTGCTGGCAGAATATAATGGCGCTGCGGGAATGAATGATTCCTGAGTGTGTTGATGGGGGAATTAGTAAATTTTTGGTTTCTTCGAAGTGTTAAAAACAGTAGGGTTTATGCAATAAAAACACTCAAAGCTAGTATACTGCACTCACTTGTACGGTTTTATGTTACAGTGCAAATGGATTAAGCTGGGGAGTAAGTCCTCATAGTCCCAAGAAGCCCTGGCCAGGGGAAGCACGGAACTATAGAGTGCACTAGCTTCAAGTGTTTTTATTGAATAAATCCTACTGTTTTTTTTTAATACTACACTTAGGGGTTGATTTACTAAAACTGGAGCGTGCAAAATCCGGTACAGCTCTGCATAGAAACCAATCAGTTTCTGTTTTTTTTTACCAATGCTTAATTGAAGAAGCTGAAGTTAGAAGCTGATTGATTTCTATACAGAGCTGCACCTGATTTTGCACTCTCCAGTTTTATTAAATCACCCCCTTTAGATTCCTTCCCTGTGCTGTTTTTTATGTTTAATCTCCTCTAATTTGCTCCAAATTCCTTCCTGATCCCTCAGTAGGAATTGGATATTCCCTAGATCGACAGTCTCTGGTGTTATTACCTATAAATGTTAATATCCAGTTAACATAACATCAGGAATTAGAAGATCCCTTAAGAGCTGATTTTCACATGTGCGGTGCGGATTGAAGCTAAGATTTCAAAACTAATTGATACAGTAGTTGTTCACCGGTTCATGTCAGGTTTACATCAGGTTCAGGACAAGATTAGCTCTCAGGATTTTCCTGTTCATACATATGACTCTTTTTCAAACCTCATTAAATCCACACCGCTAGTGCACTGGACATAAGTGAATAGGATCCATAGGAAGCAATGTTATTTCACATGTCATGTTGACTGGATGCAGGTCAAACTGCATCCAATCTGCATATATGTGAACCAGCACTAAGAGTTTTCTTTGAACAAAACTTTAAAATGTAATATGTGCCAAATGTTACCTCCCCACAGGTATAAGTTATGGGAATGACGTTGACTGGATGGACTCCCAAGGTGAAGAACAGTATCTGTGGCAACGAATGATGGACAACCCTGGAACATCAGTTGAAGGAACCCTAATGCTAAGGTCCACTAAGGCAAGACACAAGAAGGCAACTCAAAAGTCCTGAACCTGTCAAGACTTACTGATACTAATAGCAGACGTTTTCAACTGGTTTCCACTGCTTGGCATTTCAATGTTGCTTCTCATGGACTGACTGTACTCCAGCCATAGCTTTAGTACTGTAAAGGGTTGCTACTGCACATTTGTATATAGGACTGATAATGTTTAACTTACTGACATACCAATTACATTTGTATAAATTAGGATTTACATAAAATCATATACATCATTTCTTATTTGATAACACTTTTCAAAGTAAACTTTTGAAGTCTATGACCTCAGTCACTTCTGTATTAGTATTTAACTTTACCTGTTAAAAAAGTTTGAGTTATGTTTAGAAAAATAGGTGGAAAAGAGCACAAAAAACAGGGCTGAGATATTTTATTTAGGATGCATATCTTTACCTTGCACATAAATAGACATCACAGGGCCTTATTACATCTCTACCCCGGAAGCTAAACCAAGCTACTGTCACTTTGTTCCAGTTGTATCTTGAGCAGCGCCACTGTGTGCCATATGTATTTACTTAGTTCAGACTGGAATTTATGTGACATTGAAAGTCTATGGCGCCAAAAGAAATATACTGCCAGAGCATTATTGCAGTCTTCTTAGGTAGTCTGCATTCCCAATGGGGGTAGAGGAGACAGAATAGATAACTGCCATTTATTATATTGCCTTTTGTGACAGTGAGCATGTACATATCAAAGGAGACAACATAATTCCACCTAATACTAGGGTGACCTTGGGTTATGTGCATAATGATATGGCTCTCCAATCCACCTTGAAGAAAAGAAAACTCTGATCTATCACAATGTAACTGATGCCACTAAACTTGACCTGAAGAAAAAAGAAAAGCCATCTTCTCCACTGATTTCTCATATCTTTGTTCTAAAGCACAATTGAAGGTCCATTTTATTCAATAAATGTAGTATGCAGGGTTTGTATATCTGGAAATATACTGAAATCTCATTGCTGGCAATCAGGAAAAAGATGGCATGTAGTACATAGTCCAGTATGTGGGTGCCGCCTTACACTACATGAGTAGAAGAAGGTGGCACTCCCTTTTGGTGCACCTCTTTTTTCATGTTTTCATGACCATCATGTCTGCTATGGCCATAGTCACATCCTTGCTGGAATACTTGTTACAGCACAACAGTTATCCAAGGTTCCTACACATAATTTAAACTAAAATACGCCTAGAATCATGTTATCATGTTGTCACCAGAGTTGTAATTATAACCATAGAAACACACAAGGTTGCTATAGAGCCAGGAGATGAGGGCTTGGTTGGGCCCCCCTTTTCCATGTTTAAGAGTCCCTGCAAATGTCCCTGCATTACAGCCCCATCTAGCCCGAATCATGGTCCTGTTGCTGAGAGTGAAAAATCTGCTCCTTGCTGGAAATAGAAGCAGTTGGTCATAGGGTGTGGAGAGGATGCGTCTTACAAGTATTCTGAAAAAAAAAAAATCGTTAATCCGTTTCCTTCTAATTCTATTATCTAAATCCATCTAAATGCATTTCATTCTGTCATTATTTTATAAAAATAGATTACATTTCAACAAGGCACAAGCCTCAGTACTAGTAATGTGTATATATGCTGTACATGACATGGCATGCAGCCTTAAAGTGGGAGAGTATACACTAAGGTACTACCCCATAAATGCATTCTTAGAGTTTTCTAAGGGGGTGTTTTTATACTTACTGAATGCGTTCATCCAAAAGCACAATGTAGATCTTGAGTTTACCAAACCTATTCTGTTGATTTTTTCTTAACAATCATTTTTACCCATTTTATGGCTGCATCTGAACACTAGTAAATATCCATGCTACAATGTAAAAATATAATTTTATTTTGAACATAATATTCTTGGTTTTTGCATATAAAATAGTAGAAATTCTCTAGGATGATGCTACAAAGTATAAAAGCATTGTGTATGTTCAGTCAGAGACGTTTCAGGTAGACAAATATATAATATATATTTTACAAAGAAGATGTGCCTGATAATTTTGCTGTATAGTATATTTATTGTATATAATACTGTATGTGGAAATAGATTGTGAACCGTAAAGGGACACTAAATCAAAAACAAAATTGTCTTTGAAGAATATATTAGGAGAATCCATCAATAACATTTACAGATATGTATCTAAAGTCTTGTACATACATATCGGCCAAAAATTGGCCACAGTAGCACAGTTTAGCAGGAATCAGCCAACTTTAGGCCCGTGTGTACAACTATGTGTTCTACAGAAGCCAGTCCCAAGACCAATGTCAGTTGAATGGGCTTGCTGGAAAACAAGCATCCGACCTGCATCTGATCAGTGCTTGCAGACAATGACTACTAGCACTGATCAGTGTGTTCTGGAGGAGGGGGGAGTCCCCCTGTCAGAATACAATAGCAGGAGGCATCACTACACTAACATCGCTTGTGTCAGTATAGTGATCTCACAGTTTGTTTTTATTCAGCCCTCTAGGTTAAATTAAATACTTAGTGTGTAAAAACTAGTGTGTACTGGGCCTTAAGGTAGTCATACACATATACTGTAGATCTCCTATGGGCTCATCTCCCTGCTTTTGTGTTCAGATAGCTGCTGTCCTCGCGGTTGTCTGAATACCTGAACAGTGATTGCATCTGATTGGCAGTTTTCCACCTGGATGCTTCAATTTTTTCAATTAAAATTTGTTGAGCCCACCAAGCTCAACAAATTTTAATTGAAAAAAATTGAAGCATTTTCCACCTGGAAAACTTCCAATTTTTTCAATTAAAATTTGTTGAGCCCACCAGCTCAACAAATTTTGATTGAAAAAATTGAAGCATCCAGGTGGAAAACTGCCAATCAGATTTCAATCACTAATTTGTATTGAGCCCACCGCAGCTCAACAAGATTTTGATTGGCTCCTGCTGAATTAAAAATTTAAGCATGTATGGCCAGCTTACGTCTTAAAAATCTGCCAATCACATGTAAAACCATTTATAAAATGGATTGCAGACAACTGTCTATTGGGACAGCCCAGCTCCTCCCCCCCAGATTATACTTACCTCAATTTGATTAACTGCAATTTAAGCCATGTATGGCCAGCTTACGTCTTAATAAATCTTGAGATATTACACATTGTAAAACCATTTATAAAATGGAGTGCAGAATACTGTCTATTGTACATGCCCAGCTCCTCCCCCCCAGACACCTTATACTTACCTCAATTTCGATCCAATGATGTGCACGGGAGCAGCAGCTCTCTCAACTATCTCCCTCCTTATTAACTCAGAGACAGTCACTGGTTCCGGCTGCTGTCAATCACAGCCAGTGAGGAGAGAGCAGGAGATGGGGCTGAGCTGTGCTCTGTGTGTCAGTGGACACATGGAGCTGGCTCAGGAGCAATCCTGCATGAGTGCCCCCAGAGCAAGCAGCTTGCTATGGGCATTAAGAGGTGCGTGAGCCCCAAAAATGGGAAACTGGTTTCAGCAGAGGTGCCCAAATGTTAAAAAGAAGCTCAGAAGTGGTTTCCTCATAAATTCGATAACAGATTGGTATAAAAACACTGTCAACATGTTATGTGGCACTCCCTCAGGATGCTGCATAAAACACAAGGACAAGCCGTGGACACTCAGTTCCATGGAACCAGTAACGTTTGCAATGGGGCTTCTGCTACATGTTTGCTATGGGGGCACTCAGCAGTGCGGAGGAGCCAGGAGCACCGGCAGGGGACCCGAGATGAGGAAGATCGGGGCTGCTTTGTGCAAATCAATTTACAGAGCAGGCAAGTATAACATGTTTGCTATTAAAATAAAATAAGATTTACAATCACTTTAGGTCACTTATAGTTAGAGAGAATCTGTTAGACTACAGATACAGTATAGGAGATACCATTGCTGACTTTTTTTCTGAAGATGAAAGATACAGGGCTTTCTTCCTTATCCATCCTTCGGCACTTCGTAAGTTACAGACCTAGAACAAGCATGCTTCCAATGAAGTGTCTGGTTCAACCTGCATACTCGTTCCTGGTCAGTGACTAAGTAGTGAGGGAAGGATAATGATGACAGCCCTGTAATTTGTGCCTATTAAAATAAGTCAGGTGCTGCGTGCTGCAAAGCCCATATTTCTTTCCTTTAAGTTTACTTTAATTTAATTTCAGATGTCATTTAAATATTTTTGTTCATAATTCGATTCTGAAACAGTTTCAAAGGAATTTGTAAATGGTATTAATGGGTCCTATATTTGCCAAATGTATTTTAGGTCTATTTATCCTTATGCAAGCTTTATACTTGTTTAGTGCATACATGTTCCTATCTTAATTTGCGTTAGGCTAGATTCACACTGTTGCGGGTGGAATCGCTGCTGTTCCTACACCCACAACCACCCACAGCCAAAACATGCTAATGTTCCTAATGGCACTCCAACTCATCTGCCAAAACAAGCTGCTGATTAGGACTTTGCTTTTAATTCACACTGGAATAAATACCATTGTAGGTCCAGTTCACTCCTGGTCTGTTCACTTTATTGCCAATCAAGCCCTGATGAAGGGGCACTTGGACTCCTGAAATGTGTTGGCTGCTTCTCAAATTATACCCCTGAACTTTAATGGAATAAAGTTGTATCTGGACCTCTTAACAGTGGTGTGGTGCTTCAATTTCAACTTTTCTTACAATACACTACAAGCCAGGGAGACTGTGGAGATCCTCTGGGGTGTAGATGCCGCCTGACCAGGAACTAGATCATTTACACCAACATAATATCTTAAGATAACAAAACCAATGGAGTGCACCTGCGGGTCCAGCGCTGCCTTTCCACTTTCTTCAACTCATTCATTCTTAGTGGCACTTCCACGTATCTTAAACACCAGCATGGGTGCGGAAACCACAGAGAAACTGCATGATGAAAAACCACAATGCGACTTCACTTCTGTTCTGGTTTAAAAATGCTGCAGGAACCTTTTAGCTGCATGAAACACAGGCACAGCAGCCCATTCAAATGCCTGCGGCACACACACCCGCACCAGTGTGAACC